TTTAACTTTTAATACCGTGTGTTTCACCATGGACCTCTGTTTTAATTGCGATATTTTAAAAATAAGTAAATAGCAAGGTACTCTCGAGGGTTTATAAAACTAGAAAGTATAAGAAATTTTTTGACATACTAATCATCCAGGTGCAAATTATATTAATGTTATTTTGATGGACACTCTCGCAGGCATGTTATCCCGAATAAATCAAATGAGAAATAGGAAGACAATCTGGAGCCGATTGAGAGATAGACTTCGAGACAATTTAGAGACCACTGAAGATAATGAAGAAACAACTGAAGAGACCACTGAAGAGACAACTGAAGAGACCACTGAAACCACTGTAGAAACCACTGAAAATACTGGAAATACCACTGCAAGTAATGGAAATATCACTGCAAGTACTGGAAATACAACTGAAAGTACTGGAAATACCACTAAAACTAGTGGAAATACCACTGAAAATGAATATGATCTATTTGATTTGAAACTGGATGGTGAAGGAGCCAAGTTTGGTGATGGCAATGCATTCAATGACGGCAATTCAACCGAGAGTGGCTTTGATAAACCCAAAGGTTCGGGGAAAGGGTGTCAAACTGGTGGTGACTGTGAGTCCGGGGAGTTTTGTTTTGGCGAAAAGGATTCGAAGTGTGTTTCAATGAACGAAATGAAATTGCCTGGGTTCTAATGGGGGATCAACAGCCCCTCAATGGATACCTACCACGGATCACAGACTTCTAACCAATCAATGAATCCATTTGTTTGGTTTATGTAAACATTTAAAATCTCGTATCTATTGTATAGCAATAAATCTATTTTAATTTTAATGCAATTTGTATAATTCATAAATCTCCCAGTTAAATTGCCATGCACTACAGCCTGCATTGTACGGGGAGGGGGTGAGTGTGTGCCCACCAAACCATTATATGTTTAAAGGGTAGAGTTTTCATAAAAATAAATATTTTATAAAATAAATTAAAATCTCATCTCAAATATACAGGTAAAATGCACTTCAGTTACACATGATTTCATTGACTGAGTTATTCAGTTGTTTTATACACAAAAAAATATATATTTATATAAAAAATTTCATTCATATTCTCTAATGTTTATACAATTTATAAAACTTTTATCTACAATATATTAATTATAAACTCTAATATCGTATATAAATATACACACAAGTAATTAACCTTTTTTCTGATAGAGATTTTAATACTCCAAAACGGATAATCCAAACCTAACTCTCTCTCTCTCTCTCTCTCTCTCTCTCTCTCTCTCTCTCTTCACTCTTTTATAGCCCCAACTGTGGATTGTAAAAATAATTTTTATTGTATCTACCACTATTGTATGTACCAAAGGACCCGGGACTATGTCTGGTGAGCACTGCCAGGTATATGACTGGAAGACCCTCTTTTGATTTAGACCTCAAATTTCTGGGTTTTATTCGCGTTATATAGATATCCTGTATATATATATATTGACTTAGATATAGACAATATAGACTGATATAGACAACATTTTTCCCTGGTTCATTAATTGATAGATGCCCAATTGTTTAATAAAATAAATTTTTAATCATAAAAGGGGACTGACACTGTTCACTTACATTTTTAATAAATTGAAATTTCTACTTTTTTTTATTAACTAATATAATAAGATATTTTTAAAAAATTTATTTTACTGTTTATATAATAATGTCATTAAAATGTTATGATTGTACTAAAAATAGAAAATACATTGATTTAACATTATATTTATACATCATGCACAACATTAAGTTAATAATTTTTTTAAAAAATTATAAATGATTTTAAAATTAATAAAACATTGAATAGTGAATAGACTTACCGTTAACTGTAAGGGAAGTATTACAGGAAAGGTATCTTTAAGGGTTAATAATAGTAATGGGAATTAAATAGAACTGGGTATTATAACTTATTGACTATTTATTAATTAAATAAATTTGTGTTTAATATTAATTTGATTAAATAAATTTTCATTCAATTTAACTGTAATATGAATACCAGATTAGCTCATCTGTTGCTTGAATTTAGGGTAAATATAGGGTACACACTGGTTCATTTTATTAGGCTATTAATTTAAAGGCAATAAACAACACTGAGAATTTATTATAAAAATAGTTTTAAATTACAACAACATGTCTATAATGAAAATAAATCAATACATTTCTGTTATTAGTTATTATGTTTTTTAGAAATATTTGCTCATGGCCAGTAAGGCGCTGTACTGTATGGATCGCAATTGATTCTGCTCAAACTTGCCGTCTGCCAGTTTGCACTTATTGTCTGAACGCCACCCGACTTGTGACTTCTCGACCGTGTCGGCCAAGTCGACGATTACGGCTACCATTCCCCTCACGAATTGCCTCAACTCGGGCGGGTCGGCGTGGACCAGCTCCATCTGCTCGCCGAATGAGCGCAGTATGCTATTTGAAAATGAGCCAGGACAGTATTGTACAAGTTATTAGTATTCAAATTAAAAGCATCATAAACATTGTTGGGGTTTAACTTAAGATTGAAGTAATTTACAGTGATTTAAAGCAAAATGATAAAAACAAACCGAAACACTTTTGATTGATTAAGCTGGACAAACTATCCCAAACAAAGTGTACCTGGTCACTTTACTAATAGGTCGAGTTCTCACTAGAAATATAATTACAAATACATACCAATAGATACCGGTTTGAGAGTCGCGCCGGACTTCCTTACGGGTCTGCAATAGCTGTTCGATAGTCGCGTCGTTTAGCAGTTTGGGGGACACGAGTCGGGCGTTCCACCCCTTGGCCACAGCCATGTTGTTGGGTATCGAACAGAAGTTGCGTACGTAAGGACCTAGATTATTTCTGGCGACCACAGCCCCGTGCATGGCCTTCAGGGGCTCTTTCAGTTTGACCACAAATTTTAGAGTTTTATTCATATCCGACTGGTAGTGACTAAATATATTTGACCACATTTTAGTTATACAATGATTTCTATGTAACATTATTATTAGTGTGACCCAGGTAGGAAGTTTTATAATTACATATGGTAGCAGGTAGATGTTCAAAATATTTTGTATCTATCAATATATAGTTTGTTAATATTAACTAAGTCTATGTCTATTCAAATATTTCTAAACCCTATTACTGAAGACTATTGAACCCCTGGTCACACCACTTATAATTATAATTCATAAATCATGTGATAGTCATTACTATTGGCCCCAATCGCCAGACAAAAATCCGCAAAACTCTTTGATGTCATTCGCCGTCTCGGGTAATGGGGTTCCGGTGCCGAAGAACTCTAGCCTATCAAACCCTGACGGCCGGGTCGAGTCGACCTCATTGTGTCATAGCGTGGTTAAGGCGGAGAAGCCGTTGGACGCACTCCTCAAACTCGATGTGGTATTAGATTAGCTCATCTGTGGCTTGTGACACACACACACCCTGGTCAATTTTAGTAGCCTATTAATATAAGCTTAATAAACAAGACTAATAATTTGTATGCTCTGTGTATCAATTTATTCTTGAAATAGATTACAATTACAACCATATGTTTATATTAAAAATACATTCATACATATTATATGTGCACATAAATAATCTATTGTATTATGTTTTTTCAGAAAAATTTGTCCATTGCCCGTAATGCCCTGTACTGTATGGAGCGCCGGTTATTTACATTAACCTTTTGGTCGGTCTCCAGTTCGCACTTATAGTCTGAACGCCAGCCGACTTTCGACTTCTCGACGGTGTCGGCCAAGTCAACGATTACGGCTACCATTCCCTTCATGAATGCCCTCAACTCGGGCGGGTCGGCGTGTGTCAGCTCCATCTGCTCGGCGAATGAGCGCAATACGCTGTTTGAATGAGCCAGGACAGTATTGTACTAGTTATTAGTTATTCACATTAAAAGCATCATATGCAGCAAAATGTTCAAAACTAGCAAAAACACTTTTAATTGATTAAGCTGGACAAACTATCTCAAACACGGTGTACCTGGTCACTTCACTAGTTGGTTCGAGTATTTATTAGAAAATTAATTACAATACATACCAATAGATATCGGTTTGCGAGTCTCGCTGGCCTTCCTTAAGCCGGATCTGCAACAGCTGTCCGACAGTCGCGTCGTTCAGCAGTTTTGCGGACACGAGTCGGGCGTTCCAGCCCTTGGCTACCGCCGTGTTGTTGGGTAGCGAACAGAAGTTGCGGACATATAGACCGAAATTATTTCTGGCGGTCACCGCCCCGTGGAGGGCCCTCAAGGGCTCTTTCAGTGTGGCCACAAATTTTAGGGTTTTATTCATATCCGACTGGTAGTGACTAAATATTTTTGACCACATTTTAGTTATACAATGATTTCTATGTGACATTATTATAATTGTGACCCGTGTAGGTATTGGTAAATGTACAAGATACATATTCTGTATCTATCAGAATATAGTTTGTTAATATTAATTAAGTCTATCTCTATTCAAATATTTTAAAACCCGCTTACTGTAGACTATTGAACCCCTGGTCACACCACTTATAATTAAAATTCATAAATCACGTGATAGTGAATACCTTAGTCCGCCAGTGCTCGACAAAAAATCACAAAACTCTTTGATGTCATTCGCCGTCTCGGGTAATGGGGTTCCGGTGCCGAAGAACTCTAGCCTATCAAACGCGTGGTCGGCCTCAGTGGCCACTGTCTCCGATTCTTTGCTATTGTGTCCAACTTGCCTATGTTCTGGCTTCTTGTGTGGCACACCCTTACCCTTACCTCCTTTCCTTTTGCCCCCCAATTGAACGTCTGAAATCCATTCTTTGCCATTGTGTACCCAACCGCCCTCGAGCAAGCCCCCACCGGCCCCGGGTTTTAAAATATTTGAATAGAGATAGACTTAATTAATATTAACAAACTATATTCTGATAGATACAGAATATGTATCTTGTACATTTACCAATACCTACACGGGTCACAATTATAATAATGTCACATAGAAATCATTGTATAACTAAAATGTGGTCAAAAATATTTAGTCACTACCAGTCGGATATGAATAAAACCCTAAAATTTGTGGCCACACTGAAAGAGCCCTTGAGGGCCCTCCACGGGGCGGTGACCGCCAGAAATAATTTCGGTCTATATGTCCGCAACTTCTGTTCGCTACCCAACAACACGGCGGTAGCCAAGGGCTGGAACGCCCGACTCGTGTCCGCAAAACTGCTGAACGACGCGACTGTCGGACAGCTGTTGCAGATCCGGCTTAAGGAAGGCCAGCGAGACTCGCAAACCGATATCTATTGGTATGTATTGTAATTAATTTTCTAATAAATACTCGAACCAACTAGTGAAGTGACCAGGTACACCGTGTTTGAGATAGTTTGTCCAGCTTAATCAATTAAAAGTGTTTTTGCTAGTTTTGAACATTTTGCTGCATATGATGCTTTTAATGTGAATAACTAATAACTAGTNGTGGAGTTCGTGGTGGTCCGGGTGAAGGGCCAGTCGTTTATGTTGCATCAGATCCGCAAAATGATTGGTTTGGCGATCGCTGTGGTCCGGGGTATCGCCGGCGGCGAGACGATCGTCAGGGCGTTCGGGACGACCCGTATAGACATACCGAAGGCGCCGGGTTTGGGGCTACTGCTCGAGGAGGTCCACTACGACAAGTATAATGACAAGTATGGCGGCGATGGCGTACACGAGCCCATCGTGTGGGAGGCGAAGAAGGCGGCAATCGATGAGTTCAAACACAAACACATATATCCGGTGATCGCCGATACGGAGCGCCAGGAGATGCCGATGTTTGAGTGGTTACAGACACTGGTGTTCCACACGTATGATGAGAGGGAACAGAAGGCTAATGAAAGGCTGTCGGAAGGGGTGGATGTGTCCGAGAGGGGGGCCCTATGGAGGGCTCACAGCAATGTGTTGCGTGTGAATCAGGGGAATGACGGCAGTTGTGATGAGAAAGCCGGCGGTGAGGAGACTAACGGTGCCGCTAAAGGGGATGACATACCTGTCGTTTGTAATTAATGTGTTGTATGTTTTGAATAATTAATTAATAAATAAATATTTTTTGAAAATGATTTTATTTATTGTTTAAGTACAGTATAATAGCTTAGTCTGATTAATGACACAATTAAAATGCTTATTTATTTATCCTTATGTTGATGTTGTCATGATTTAGTCTATTTATACAGTAATAAAATTAATTGTTAACATGATAATTATAAGGTGGACTTCGTAATAATATAAATTCAAATATTTTAAAATGTTTATTAATAGTAAATATATTCAATTTGTTATAAAATCTCACTCAAATACTGTAGATATTAAAAAATACAATTTATACGTAAGCAAACCTGGTTTACAATTACAATGAATTTTAACTGAACACGTATACGTATACGTATTTATTAGTGATATATTTTCGGTACCCTAACAAAATCCCGAAACTCATAATCCCGAAAATTATAATATCTATATAAATAATTAAAATTACTTTTCATGAATTTAAAACTTAATGATACTTAAAGAATAATTAATTACCAGTTAGTTAGTGGTTTATTTGTATTAAAACTCATCAAATTAAGACAATATTGAAAAGTTGATGAAATATTTACTTACAAGTATGACACTACAATAATTAGTTTTAAAAAATTATACTAATAATAAAAATGAGTTTTACATTATATAAAATATAAAATAATTATTTATATAGATATTATATTTTTCGGGATTTTGTTTTCAGGGTTTTGTTTTTCGGGATTTTGTGGTACTCCCATATTTTTCATAATTAATTAAATTCTAATTAAATTATTTTTTAGTTAAGCAAAAATTTAATTAAACATTTACTGTCTGTGTTCTGTTAGCCATATAACAAGTCAGTAAGAATTGTAGTCAATAGTCAATCATTAATAATATAATAGGTATATTTAATATACTAATTAACAATGGTTCCTTATGTAAGCTTACTAATCATGATATCCCTGGTCACTTGTAAGTTATTTTACATTTAGTATCTATTATTTAGAATGAATGGATAAGTGATGAGAGCGAGTGAGTGAATGAGTGAGAGTGAGAGTGAGAGAGAGAGAAAGAGAGAGAGAGCGAGAGAGATGACAAATGCTAGTAAATAATCTATGAATTTACTATTACGACGGTTAGTGGTGGTCGGGGCCGGTGGGGGATTACCTGGGGCCGGTTGGGGATTACCCGGAGCCGGTGGGGGATTACCCGGGGCCGGTGGGGGCTTGCTCGAAGGCGGTTGGGTACACAATGGCACAGAATGGATTTCAGACGTTCAATTGGGGGGCAAAAGGAAAGGGGGTAAGGGAAAGGGTGTGCCACACAAGAAGCCAGAACATAGGCAAGTGGGACACGATAGCAAAGAATCGGAGACAGTGGCCACTGAGGCCGACCACGCGTTTGATAGGCTAGAGTTCTTCGGCACCGGAACCCCATTACCCGAGACGGCGAATGACATCAAAGTGTTTTGCGATTTTTTGTCGAGCACTGGCGGACTAAGGTATTCACTATCACGTGATTTATGAATTATAATTATAAGTGGTGTGACCAGGGGTTCAATAGTCTACAGTAAGCGGGTTTTTAAATATTTGAATAGAGATAGACTTAATTAATATTAACAAACTGTATCTTGTACATTTACCAATATCTACCCGGATCACAATTATAATAATGTCACATAGAAATCATTGTATAACTAAAATGTGATCAAAAATATTTAGTCACTACCAGTCGGATATGAATAAAACCCTAAAATTTGTGGCCAAACTGAAAGAGCCTCTGAGGGCCCTTCACGGGGCGGTGACCGCCAGAAATAATTTCGGTCTTTATGTACGAAACTTCTGTTCGCTACCCAACAACACGGCGGTAGCCAAGGGCTGGAACGCCCGACTCGTGTCCGCCAAACTGCTGAACGACGCGACTGTCGGACAGCTGTTGCAGATCCGGCTTAAGGAAGGCCAACGAGACTCGCAAACCGGTATCTATTGGTATGTATTTGTAATTAATTTTCTAATAAACACTCGAACCAACTAGTGAAGTGACCAGGTGCACAGTGTTTGAGATAGTTTGTCTAGCTTAATCAATTAAAAGTGTTTTTGTTAGTTTTGAACATTTTGCTGCATATGATGCTTTTAATGTGAATAACTAATAACTAGTACAATACTGTCCTGGCTCATTCAAACAGCGTATTGCGCTCATTCGCCGAGCAGATGGAGCTGACCCACGCCGATCCGCCCGAGTTGAGGGCATTCATGAAGGGAATGGTAGCCGTAATCGTCGACTTGGCCGACACGGTCGAGAAGTCGAAAGTCGGGTGGCGTTCAGACTATAAGTGCGAACTGGAGACCGACCAAAAGGTTAATGTAAATAACCGGCGCTCTATACAGTACAGGGCATTACGGGCAATGGACAAATTTTTCTGAAAAAACATAATACAATAGATTATTTATGTGCACATATGTATGAATATATTTTTAATATAAACTTAACATATGGTTGTAATTGTAATCTATTTTAAGAATAAATCGATACACAGAGCATACAAATTCTTTGTGTTGTTTATTGCACTTAAATTAATAGGCTAATAAAATTGATCAGGGTGTGTGTGTTTGTGTGTGTGACACAAGCCACAGATGAGCTAATCTAATACACCATCGAGTTTGAGGAGTGCGTCCAACGGCTTCTCCGCCTTAACCAAGCTATGGCACAATGAGATCGACTCGACCAGCCGTCATGGATCAGTTCAACGACACGCTGAGGGTCTACTTAAGCACTCATAAGTCATAACTATTACCACAACTTCACGTCTGGATCAGAAGGCTAATGATAGGCTGTCGGAAGGGGTGGATGTGTCCGAGAGGGGGCCCCTATGGAGGGCTCACAGCAATGTGTTGCACGAGAATCAGGGGAATGACGGCAGTTGTGATGAGAAAGCCGGCGGTGAGGAGACTAAAGGGGATGACATACCTGTTGTTTGTAATTAATGTGTTGTATGTTTTGAATAATTAATTAATAAATGTTTTTTGAAAATGATTTAAAAAATACAATTTACATGTAAACAAACCTGGTTAAATTAAAAATTAATATAGATTTTTAACTAAACATATATGTTTTATAATTACCGGTACAGTAATATATTTTTCATAGTAAATAAAATCTGATTAAATTAATTTTTTTTAATTAAGCATAAATTTAATTAAACATTTACTGTTTGTGTGTTCAGTTAGCCATATAACAAGTCAGTAAGAATTGTAGTCAATAGTCAATCATTTATAATATAATAGGCATAATAATTAACAATGGTTTCTTGTGTAAGCTTACTAATCATGATATCCCTGGTCAGTTGTAAGTTATTTTACATTTAATAACTATTAGAAATTTTTATTTAGAGTGAAGAGAGAGAGAGAGAGAGAGAGAGAGAGAGAGAGAGAGAGAATGACAAATGCGACAAATGAGAATGATAATGAATGGATTTACTATTACGACGGTTAGTGGTGGTCGGGACGGGTGAGGGATTCAATGGTACAGCACCAGTGACTTCAGACTTCATATTTGGAGCCAAGAAACCCGGGAAAGGAAATAGACCGGCATCAGCACCGGGGAGAGTGGGACACAATAGGCTAGCTTTTCAGATAGTGGCCACTGAGGCCGACCACGCGTTTGATAGGCTAGAGTTCTTCGGCACCGGAACCCCATTACCCGAGACGGCGAATGACATCAAAGAGTTTTGCGGATTTTTGTCCGGCGATTGGGGCCAATAGTAATCACTATTACTATCACATAATTTATGAATTATAATTATAAGTGGTGTGACCAGGGGTTCAATTGTCTACAGTAATAGGGTTTAGAAATATTTGAATAGACATAGACTTAGTTAATATTAACAAACTATATATTGATAGATACAAAATATATTGATAGATACAAAATATCTTGAACATCTACCTGCTACCATATGTAATTATAAAACTTCCTACCCGGGTCACACTAATAATAATGTTACATAGAAATCATTGTATAACTAAAATGTGGTCAAATATATTTAGCCACTACCAGTCGGATATGAATAAAACTCTAAAATTTGTGGTCAAACTGAAAGAGCCCCTGAAGGCCATGCACGGGGCTGTGGTCGCCAGAAATAATCTAGGTCCTTACGTACGCAACTTCTGTTCGATACCCAACAACATGGCTGTGGCCAAGGGGTGGAACGCCCGACTCGTGTCCGCCAAACTGCTAAACGACGCGACTATCGAACAGCTATTGCAGACCCGTAAGGAAGTCCGGCGCGACTCGCAAACCGGTATCTATTGGTATGTATTTGTAATTATATTTCTAGTGAGAACTCGACCTATTAGTAAAGTGACCAGGTACACTTTGTTTGGGATAGTTTGTCCAGCTTAATCAATCAAAAGTGTTTCGGTTTGTTTTTATCATTTTGCTTTAAATCACTGTAAATTACTTCAATCTTAAGTTAAACCCCAACAATGTTTATGATGCTTTTAATTTGAATACTAATAACTTGTACAATACTGTCCTGGCTCATTTTCAAATAGCATACTGCGCTCATTCGGCGAGCAGATGGAGCTGATCCACGCCGACCCGCCCGAGTTGAGGCAATTCGTGAGGGGAATGGTAGCCGTAATCGTCGACTTGGCCGACACGGTCGAGAAGTCACAAGTCGGGTGGCGTTCAGACAATAAGTGCGAACTGGCAGACGGCAAGTTTGAGCAGAGTCAATTGCGATCCATACTGTACAGCGCCTTACTGGCCATGAGCAAATATTTCTAAAAAACATAATAACTAATAACAGAAATGTATTGATTTATTTTCATTATAGACATGTTGTTGTAATTTAAAACTATTTTTATAATAAATTCT